GGGCATAGTGTGGGTAGGAGGGGGAAAGGATTGAGTGTTTGCAAGGGTTAGGAGAGTGATAGATGGAGGAAAGGAAGGATGGAGTCAGGCAGGGAAAGAGGGGAGGGAGGGAGGGAGGCAGGGAAAGAGGGGAGGGAGGAGGCAGGGAAAGAGGGGAGGGAGGCAGGCAGGGAAAGAGGGGAGGGAGGCAGGCAACAAAGGAAGAACGGAGCTAGGGTGAGTGGGATGGAAGTGAGGGTGGGTGGGCAGGTGGGAAAGCAAGCAGGGTGGCTGGAGTGGATGTGAGTATCAGGAGTGGGTGTGGTGGGTCTTTGAATGTTGTGTGCCTGCCTGCCAGCCAGTTAGTTAGTTATCCAACTATTTATCCAGCCCACTTGTCTGTCTTCCCTACCTACCTGCTAACCACTCAGCCAGCCACACTAATTATAGTATAGTGAGTGTGAAAATTCAAATTATGTCGGTTGTGGTACAACAAAATTGCTACACTATACAGCCAGTAAGTACATAGTTAGCCAAAAGACCCTTCAAGAGGGAGTAAAATCTCAGAAAATTTAATTCCAACATAACTATCCCAACAGTAAGGAGGAGGTCTATAACCACATAATGTCATACACGTTCAGTAGAACCCACCAAAGTCGTCCACCAGATAAGTAACATTAAATTCAGCATAATGCAAAACAGATATGCCTTGAACCCAAAAATGCCACCAGGTGGAACAGACCAACCAGCTTCAACACAGTCATCCAGTCTTTAAAAATAATATAACACAATGTACTAAGCTGGACTCTGCACATAGCAATGGAACTCAGCCATTTATACAAAGACATAGACATAAATAAGATAAAGATATTCAACTACAAAACATACCAGGTCAACAGAGCTGACTAGGCCAACGATGGAGCAGCAATTGTTGTCAGGAAAAATATACCACACAAAATTCTAGATAACCTTCAAGAAAACTTCCTCATAATAGGACGCCAAATGACTAACGGTACAATCTTCATAGGAAAGTGTTACCAACCAACAAGACGCCCTCACCTTCCCTTGGCCGACATCATGAAACTCACTAGAAGGAACAGAGCTGCTTACTTCCTGGGAGATCTGAACGCAAAACATAGAGCCCTGAGATGCAGAAGAAACAACCAGGCAGGAGAAGCCATACACAATAAGCTAAGGAATGGAAATCTAACCCATTTGGGCCCAGACTTCCCAACTTATGTCAGACAAAATCACAGTGGCAAACCAAACATAATACTGTCAAATAACCACCACTTTCTAAACACCCGCATAGAAAGAGGCGGGTGTTCTTAAACAGATTAAAATACTGGACATTTACACGTGGCTGTGTGTGTGCAAGCGTTTGCAAGTGTAACTGCTCATGAGATGGTTTATCAAGCATGTATTTATTATAATTTATTATATATACAAGCATTCATAGGGGGGTTGAGACAGAGCTAGCTGATAATCTCATTATGTGGATACACTCAGTCTCTGGAACAGAAAAATTGCAATACTTATAGTCTCCTAAAAGCAATTTTTGGTCTTATTATGAAAGTAGTTCTAGGTTCTAGGCATATAAGTGTAACTAGTGAGCCAACATTTTATTCAGCCACAGGTGGCAGAAGTTGTGACTTTTATTTTTGCGGGGGCCGATTTATTTTCAGATTTCAAACCCTATTTTCTTTATCTCTTTAGGGTACTGATGAATGAGGACCCGATGAGAGCCTTATCACTTATATATGGTCAATAAATTTACTGCAATATGTATATGTTTGTTACCCCTACCCTATTCATATATTATCTGTTTTTTGGGGGGGTTATTTTTCTTGACTTTATTTCAACACATATTGACCTACAACTTTCACCAAGTTTCGGTGCACCATAACCGGCCCCCTTAAACCACTGCTTGATACATTGAGCTTTCAAAATATGGCTTGGCCAAAACAGAGGTCCAACAATGATATGCATCACACACCCAAATATGAAAAAGCCCCCAAACCCAGCAGTAGGGTTATAGGCAACAGGGGAGACCACTGGAAAAATAAAAAAAGTGGGAGGTTCATTGCAACTCCATCAGCAGAAATATGAGAAACAACCTTCCTGAAGCACAGGAATAGACATACTGCACCAAACAGGGACTCCATGCAGCACCAATTAGTGCAAAGAAATGCATAAATGGCTACCAAACATATAAACTTATCACTCAGCCAATAAAGTGCATGACATGCCAGGAAAAGAATGAAAAGATCACTGGAGGCATCTTTCAAGCGTACATATGACTAATAGTGTAGTGTTCCAATACCAGCATAAGGCAGCATGAGTACATAAAATATTTTTTTACATCTACCTGTACTACCTCCCATAAACAGGCCTCGATCTTGACAACAAATTCCCAAAGAATTTTCTAGAAAAAGGCAAGACTCGAAAAGGGAGTCCTTCAAAGTTGAAACAAAAAACCTTAAAGAAGTTAAACTGTGGTGGTTAACAGTTTATGCCAACACCGCCAGGGAAGGAAACTCTGAAAATACAGCCAAAGCAGACTAAGGGAGCAAGAGACACTCAAGGTAACCAGCATATATTCAAATTAAATGTGTACAGATCAAGTCCAAATGGAAAGCTGGCTACTTTCTGTAGTTTTCCAGTTTCAGTAGAAGCCTTCGGGTAGATAAGGCATCAGTCAGTGTGGGGAAGAGTATTTGAGTAGGTATTATAGTCACTTCGGAGATTTGTTTGGTAGTTATCTACCGGCCCTTGCTCCCAGTAGGCAGATATAGTCACAGCAGTCTGGTGTATCAGACATAGCCCTTAGATACTGGTGTTCACTCACATGTACTGACCAGCAACAGAATGATCTCACTGGAAGAGGCAAGGTGACAATGATGGATGAAGTTCTGATAATGCTACAGTAATACCTGCTAACCTGGACCACTGCCAACATTTGACAATACTTAACAAAAAAATACATAGACTTTTGTAGCAATTTTAGTAGGTGAGGGTGTGAGAGTGGGTGGGTAAGAGAGTGGGCAAGATTGCAAGGAGAGTGGATGGAAGAGAGTGGGTGGATGTGAAGACGGAGTCAAACCATGGTTGCCTTGGCTGGAGGAGACTGATGAGCATGACATGAGTGTTATATACTAATAGTGCAGCTAACTAAAATTATTGTTCACCAAATGATAACCACATTATGACAAAAATTCATCTACAAATGTACTTTACATAAGGTTCAATTATTATATTATATATACAGTGGAACCTCGGTTTACAAATGCCCCTACTTACAAATTTTTCGGTTTACGAGCTCAATTTCTTAAAAAAAATTTAACTCTGTTTACAAGCTTTGCTTCTCTTGGTGAGTTTGTTGATACACATATGGGTTGACCGAGTGCATAGTTCCTGGTGGCAATGGCGTGGTGCCCTTCAGTCTGCCAGTGCCTCCCGCCTAGTGACGATTGCGCTTGAATTCTTTGTAAAGAATTTCATTGTTTTTCAGTTTTTTGGGTTTTTGAACATAAAAGTAATTATTATATGTCATGCCATGGGTCTCAAGAAAGTCAGTGGTAAGGTTCAACCTAAGAAAACAAATGTGAGGATGATGATAGAGGAAAAACAAGAGATCATTCGTGTTGACCAGACCACATACTAGAAGGTGAAGGGACGACAAAGTTTCGGCCCGTCCTGGACCATTCTCAAGTTGATTCTCCCAAATGACTTGAGAATGGTCCAGGATGGACCAAAACGTCGTCGTCCCTTCACCTTCTAGTGTGTGGTCTGGTCAACATTCTTCAGCCACGTTATTGTGACTCATTGCCTGCAAGAGATCATTCGTAAACATGAAAATGGTATGAGGGTTGTTGAACTAGCTAGGTTGAATGGTGCTGATGTGGAGGAGTTGATGGAGGAACACAGTGAAGACGTGACCACCGACGAACTCATAGCCCTTCACAAGGAGAAGAAACAAGAGACAGCGAGGAAATTTCTTCAGGGGAGGAGAAGGCAGTTGAGAACGTCCCTCCTTCATTAAGAAAATGTGTGCAGTATGGGAAGAACTGCAAAGTTTTGCTGAAAAGTGTCATTCAGATAAAGCTGTAGCAGGCCATTGCATTAACCATTTTAGTGACAATTTAGTGACAATGTGATGTTTCACTACAGACAAGTGTTAAAACGTAGGGAAAACAAGTGTCTATAGACAGATTCTTAGTAAGACAAGCAAGCAGTGAGCCACAACCAGGTCCTAGTGGTATGGCTGCAAAATGTAGGAGGGAGAGTACCACACAGAAGTCATCACTGGCTGATGTTAAATTGGAAGGGGACTCCCCTTCCAAATACAAACACTAACACACTCCCCTCCTTCCCCCTCCCTCACCGTCTTCCATACGCCAACAAAAGTCATCAATAAAGGTAAAATATAACTTGTACATACTATGGTACAAAATATTTGTGGTGTTATGTATGAAATGTATTTTGAAGTTAATATTTTTGGGAGTATGGAATGGATTAATTCAATTTACATTATTTCTTATGGGAAAATTTGTTTCGGTTTATGAAGCGTCTCTGGGAACGGATTAAATTAATAAATGGAGGTACCACTGTACTGTATTATGTAATCAAATATAATAATAATAATATATAGCCTACTAATAATCTTTCTGCATGTAAATATATGTTCCTTGTGTATTCTTACCATGGTATACATACATTATGTACCACAAAATTTGTTCCAATACTCACTGAAATACACGAATTACATACATGGGCAAATTACTAGAGTTTTACAGATATTAGCAAGTCCACATAATTAACCATTGGCCCATTTTACATACATCTATATATATACAAAAAGATACACATAAAACAGCAGGGTCGGGATCAGGGTCAGCAAAGTCAGGGTTAGGGGGCATGGGTAAACTGAGCAAAGACGGAGGGAAGGAAACGGGAGAACAGATCAGAGGTGGGCGGGCAGGGTCCGGAGGAGGAGGAGGAGGAGGAGGAGGAGACTACTATACTCTGCTTGCACCTACCAGTGCTGTGTTTAATACCTGTGTAATATATAGAACTATGACAGAGCCATATGAGTTATGTCTAAAACATTTGCCATAGTACCTTCCATGATCAACACTACTCTTGTAAAGAGTAATGAGTCAACTTTCCTGGAGTTAGTAACAAGGTATAGAAACTTTATGAAGGAGAGCAAAAAAGAAGAGCACTTAAGCTCCTCTTAAAAAGCCAGGCTATATACTGGGACCAGCCATGGACCTGGAATATTTTTTTCAACATTTTAAAATTACATTGTGGGCGGACCATTGCACAACAAAATTATTAACAGGAAAACAAAACTGTGATGTCCCACGTGAGTGAGTACTTCAGTTTGGCGATGCTCCACATCAGCCATTTTCAAGCACTACAGTATTTCTAGATTTGGTAAATGCCCTAATCCTAAGCAGATGACTTTATTGTATGTTCAAAGTTAAGGACCTCCTTACCACCTGAGTGAGTTCACATTTTACCAACAGTACGTGAACAGGTAAAAGAGAGTTTATCTGTGCTACTTTGTCTGAATGCAAGACACAAAGTTTTCACATTTACATTCATTGATTTTGCAAGCAAAACCACCATTGAATACAACTATCAAAATCTGATACACACGGTAATCTAAAATAAATTAAAAGAGTTCATATATTTTGGCAAATACCATATACTGTATTAGAAAAGATATGTTTCTAAAAACCATAATATGGAAAAGCCACTATGAACCAGTGTGCACTTTACTCTAAGAACTCTCACTACTGAAACTGCAATTTTAAAGAAGTGAACAGACAGGAAAACAAACTTGGACAAAAGGTCATTGGTGGCCCAGTAACCTAGTGATAACTGATAATCTAATGAATCACTGGAGAAGCACATTAGCTCAGGTGGTGGAGCTGAAGAGAGAGTATTGTGATGTTGGTGTTGGAGGCGATGATGCTGGCAGGATGGAATTAAGCAGCAGAAGATGCTGTAAATTACTGTCTAAACAACCAGTCTTACCACTACTGCCATCACTCCCCTGCAAAATAAAGAAAACTAGATACAAGAAAATATTGAAGCCGTACAATGGGATCGAACCCGCATCCCTGAACTATTTAGGCACAGCAACTACCGGCTGGATTACGACAGATATGGCTTGATCATATTATGGGTATTGAAGGAAGAATCTCCGTTATATGATTCCAATGTATCTCATGATATAATATTTATTATCAAATTCCATTAGAGCATAAATAATTAAAGCACTTCAAAATTCTAAGATTAAAAGAGAGTCCCTTTAAATATCTAAAAAGCCTTAAAGCTTCTCATGCCAGTCAGAACTTAAGAAAACCATGTCCAACAACACTGAACTATTAGAAGACCTCACACTTACTTAATAATAGTATCAGCATATTTCGTCAAAATTATTTGTAAGTACTGTACGGGTATTACTATTTTCGCTTAAAATTTCTAATAACTAATGCAAATACTAGAAATGAGTTCACAGACTCAGTCATTAGATGCATGTAATCAGGTCATCCATATACTTTGTCTAACCACCATCAGGTGCCAGAATTGCTCATGCAATGCCAGCAGGGACTAATAATTTCGGACATACTTAACCTGTTTCTGATTTACTTAGAAGTAAAATCTTCAAATGATTATAAGATTAGTCAAAGATTGTAAATTTAGACACTGATATTGATGGTTGAGATCTTTATATAACTATAAAAAGGGAAGGAAACACCCAAGAGGAAAATGTCAAGTATGTGACAGAGAGTTTCGGCTCAATGCTGATAAAACGATCCATCAACACAGTGTCAACTCAGGTCGTTGCCGAGGAACGAGGCATCTGCCCCGAGACAGTGACAATGAACAACCTACTCTTGGAACAATACCTCTCTCAACTTCATTTCAGCAGATAATCTGCTTGAAGCAGTTGAAGCGACATAAACCAGGACTTTGCCCCACATCACCAAGCAGCAACCAAACTCCCCAGTCTTCTGACAAAGGTCAACAATGCTTCTAGAACCATTGAAGAATAGCACAATCTCCTACTATGTGGAAATGCATGATTAGTATTGCCACCGAGAAGAGACAAGTCATTAGCATCCTCAGTAATTAGCGATATTAATTAATTTCACAGGGAAGACAACCTTGTCTGCCTCTTCCCCCCTCATGCCAACAACACCAGCCGTAGGACGACCAACAATAGTTCACCTGAGAACCACAAAAGAAGAGCACAGATCACCAGGAAAATAGAAGAGGGCAATACTGCAGGTGCAATCAGAATCATAACCAGCGAGGATACTATCGCCCCCAGGAATGCCACGACAGCATGGGGTCTACAAGACAAACACCCACAGAATTCCAGACAGTAGTAGGAATTTCCAGGAAACCCCGAATGACCCAGTGGATGACCCGGGAGACCCGAACCTTGGAACAGGAATGAAGGGAACCCGGGTCAACCCAAAATGCGGCCATGGCCACAGAGGCCGCCACATGCAGGCAATGGCTGAGAGCCACAACCGGACACAAGAAGATGCACCCCTGGCCAAACTAACCAAGCAACAACCCCAGGGACTCCTCTGGAAAACAGCCGTCCCAACCTCTCCAGAAAAGAAGAGATGGCTGCAAATGATCAAACCGAGCACCAGAACCCAAAAGAGCAGAAACCGCTGAGAAACAGTCCTGAACCGAAGGGGCCACAGCAAACCGAGGGAAAGAGAGATAAGAAAGCACCTTGTCCAAAGACCAGGACGGCTCAGGAGGCGCATGAGCAGGCCGGAGGTGTAACAACACCCAAGACAGCTCATGAAACGGTGCAGAAGGAACATCAAACCGAAAACAAGCAGTAGTGGCTCCGCCAATGCTGCACAATACAAGGCGATAGTATGCGGCATAAGATGACGGTCCTGAACAAACCCCTGGGCATGGACACCGAGCAAGCAGTGCCCAAACCAAGGCTGGGCCCTTCGAGAACTCAGCAGACGTGACACCTGAAGTGATTATTGTATCCCCAAAGAGCCAAGGAACGGTCCGAGATTCCCACACAAGACCCAGCCCAGTTCGAACCTGAGAGGGAACCAGATGGGAATTCCGCCAGTTCACCAGGAACCTGAACCCAGTGAGCTGGGAAGAACCCTGGCGAGCAGACACGTGGACTGGCTGGGTGCCCAGACCAGCCAGTTGTCGAGGAAGGCCAGAACCCGAAGACCTAAGAGATGCAGATGGGCCACCACGACTTGGGTAAGGCGTAGGAACACACAAGGTGGCAGATGCAACCCGAATGGGAGACAATGAAAGCGGTAACCGAGACGCCCCATAACAAAACCAAGCCAATCCCTGAACCCCGGATGAACCGGGACATGCCAATACACATCCCAGAGGTCCAGAGACACCATCCAAGCGCCTGGCTCAAACAAAAGCCGGTCCCGGGACAGAGTAATCATCTGAAAAGAGGGGCAAAAAAACTCAAGGGTTCTGATGAGACAAGTCAAGAATGAACTGCAGGTCCGCACAGTCCCGTTTCAAGACTGGAAACAGATGGGAAAACCTACCTGAGAGACGTCGTCACTTCGACCACGACCAAGTGTACCTACTCTGAGATGACCCGACAGAGCGGAGCAGAAGAGACCTGCCTCCCCGAACCCCCTGATGGTGGAGGGGCCACCCAACGCCACTGCAGGCCGTCGAAAACAAACCGAAAACCCACGAATCGTGAGACCAGGCGTGAACAGAGCAAGCGAGCCCTCCTCCACCACCCCCGTCAATGGGGCGAACTGCAAAAGGGCTCACGCCCCTTACGAACCCCCAACTGACGCACAGAGCGATCACCATGCCAACCAGATGAAGACTTGTCTGAAGGCAGTGTTGACCCATCTGGGAGGAACCTCCCCTCCCCAGGGATCACTGCAGGACCAACAAGTCCGATAACAGACAACGACTAGAAGCTGCTGCTCGCAAAAACTGCCCAAGCCAGGACCCAGGCAGAGTTCAACAAGAAAGTGGGCACTACTAGCCGATACGCAAGACGAGAAGCGAAAAACTGTGACACTGCATCCCACAGGACCGGCACAAACTGCTCCAGCAGTGCAGACAACATACACACTACAGAGACCAAGGCACCAGACCCAGGAACGACCCTAAGCGCCACCACATCCCCTTGAAGTCAATCCGAAGACAGTCCTAGGAGGAAAAAAGAACCGCAAGATTGTAACCAGCAGGCCACGAGTGCACGAGCCCTCAGCCACCAGTGCAGCCAAAAGCAAGGAACCTGCACGTGAAGCTGAACCACGCCAACATCCTGCTGAGGGGCAGGGTGAACAAACACACATTGAGGTGCATGAATACGCCCCCAGTGAAATCTGTACCACCATCAACGTCTTGCGCCACTCAAGCATGTGGTACGACAGAAGTAATCCAAGCACCCAATGACAACACACGCAGTTCACTAGCCAGGACGACTCTGGAATCTCATAACGATCCCACTATGGAGACTAACCCATTAGAGGCATAATCTAGGTCATGCAGGAGGTATGCCGCAATGGCCACTCGCACCTCAGTCAGCAAGACGTAGGGAAGCCGAAAACCGCCGGAAGGATGGAACTGACAGATCCGAAGGGACACTGAACCAAACCCGGGGAGGGGCCAACACCAAATCCCACTCATATGCAGAAAGGGGAAAGAAAACCCCACTCCATGTAACAGTAAGCCCCGCTCGGAGGGTAGGAAAAGCCAGGCGGGGTCCAACGGGCCCAAAGTCCCCAAGTCAGCCCAGGGAACCACCACATCAAGACCCGGGGTCGAGTCATCGCCCAAAATCCCGGCCTCAAAAGAAAAGGCCGGTGCAGCCGTGGAAGCTGGAAGGAAGGGGGCATACTGGTCAGATCCAAAAGCTTCGGCAGGGAGAACTGACTCGAATGCCTCCGTCGCCACCTCAGGAGGGGCATCCCCTGAGACCGCCCGAGTCTCAAGCCCACCTAAATCCTGCCCCGACCCTGAAGTACCGACTCAGATGGTACAGAGCTGGATACAAGGGAGGAAAGGGGAGGGACCAGACTGAACCACAGCAAGGAAAGGACAAGGGGGAGTGGACGAAACTAAGGCCGAGCAACCAACATCACAGGCCCAACTGGGCCCAGGGACACTAACAAGGTAACGAGCAGCCAGGACCCTGTTCGACCACCAAAATCCCATACCTGAATGTCAGCCCAAGCCATATTGCCAAATACAGCGGCAAGAGCCACGAACTTGCAAACGTCATGGGCATGGGGATAGACCGCAGGCTGACTAGCCTTAACACTTTCGCGCTTTCGATTAGAGATAACTCGTCACTGGTTTTTCTTACGATTCCGCATAACTGCCTACTTTTCTCGTCAATCGAAAAAATATTTCTATAAATTCCATTTTTTAACTGAAATGGATGGGGATACTCTCAGATTGTTCTCCATGAAATTCCCGTTCTCCCTCACCGAACACATGGCATCTCGGCCTACCCGGTCACGTGGTCGGCCCATTGTTTTGTTGACACGCCAAGTGCCCACACTGCGCTCCCCTCTCGTGGCAAACGTGACCCGTTTTACGCATTTATTTCCGTTCCGTTTCCATTCTCGTGTACCTAAAACCCATTCAATACCTTCAACATGGATGCTGCACCAGGAACAAGCAGTGGAACGCAAAATAAAGGTAGGAAATCTAGGAAAGCAGAAGAGATCGCCAGGATTTTCGATCTGTATCGTGGGGTCAATCTCACTCCATCCAAGATTCCCGACGTTGTTGAAGCCTTTTCAGGGTCTTCTGATGATGATTTGGAGGCTGACGAACCGGAAAATGATGTTCTTTATGAGGTTTCCTCAAGTGATGAAGATATTTCGAGTGAGAGTGAGGATGAGAGTGATGAAGAAGCCCCAGCCCCGCCACGCGGTAACCGCACGTGTCCGGTACCAAAGAGGGCTAGGCTGGGTGATGAGTGGAATCGTAGCAATACTCCTCCCATCGTTGATGACTTTACTGCAACCCCTGGCCTAACAATTCCAC